CAGTGCCTGCCCACTGCTGGGTGAAGCTTGGTCCTGGACCTCTGGTGGGTAGAGGCCTTTGTAGCTTAGGAAGTCTGATGATGGGTGGGGCTATGTTCCCACCCAGTATGTCATTTGGCCTGAGGTTTCCCTATAGGCTGTTGGGTGAGGCTAGGTCTTGGTGCTAATGATGTAATCAGGATGTTAGCCTCCAGAAAAGCTCATGTAGATGAACACTCCTGGAATGTATGCCACCTGCTTTTTCCTCCCATGGGTGAGCCACAGCCATCCCCACATCCCCAGGAGACCCTCCAGATCCAGCAGGCAGTCCTGGCCCAGGTTCCTATGAGATCACTGCCTCTGCCCTTGGACCTGGCACACACGAGTTTCCATGTATGCTTCCGAAGCAAATAGTGTCTCTGTTTCCCCTAGTCCTGTGGGCGTCCCTGAGCCAAGCCCCACTGGCCTTCAAAACCAGATGTCCTGGAGAGCGAAAAAAAATGTGGCAATTGATATATATATGTTCATGTATAACTGAAAAATTGTGCTCTACACTGGAATTTGACACAACATTGTAAAATGACTATAACTCAATAAAAAAATATTAAAAAAAAAAGATGTCCTGGGGTCTCCTTCTCTTCCCAATGCCAGAACCAGAGCTGGGGAGCCTGACATGAGGCTTAGAGCTCTCACTCCTGTGAGAAGGCCTCTGCAACTTAATGATTCTTCAGCTTGTAGGTTGCCCACTAGAGGGGTATGTGGCCCAATCATATCATGAACATGCCCCTCCTACCATCCTGCTGTGGTTCCCTCTTTATGTTTCCAGTTGCATAAGATCTTTTTTGCTAGGTTCCAGTCTTTTTTTCAGTGATTGTTTAACATTCAGTTGTGGTTTCATTGTAGTCATGAGGAGAGGCAAGCTCGTGGTCCTACCACTCTGCCATCTTGACCAGAAAAGAATACTGGTAGAAAAATTTCTTTTTCTCATATGAATTTTTTTCTGTTCCAATTTAAACCTCTTGTTACTTCGGGTTGGTTAATAGAGTAATTAACTATGTTATCATTTCCAAGTATTTTTTTAGTATAATTACAGCCCCAATGGCTTCATTTAAAAATGCCTATAGTCCTAGTAATTTGGCCTAGGAAATGAATTTCTTGTATCCCAGCTAAGTGAGTATTTGATACATGTAAAGACATAATGCAAACCTTTGTATACTGGATATGCCTTGAGTTACTGCCCCAATTCCTTCCAAGACTAACACTCAACAAGAATGACAACAGCACCATTTTACCTGTGATGGTGATAGTATTTTTTTTAATGCCAAAGACAATTCCATTTCTTTCCTTTAGATGACCTCAAAGACTGGAGAGATCATTTTGTTCAAAGGAATAATCATCCCTTTACTGGATTAATTAATATGTTCTGTGGGAAAATACCAACTGTTTTCTTATTTGGAGATTTGCAGATACTAACTACTATATATAAAATAGGTAAACAACAAGTTAATCCTGTATAACACAGGAAACTATATTCAATAACTTGTAGTAACCTATAATGAAAAAGAATATGAAAATGAATGTATGTATATGTATGACTGAAACATTATGCTGTACACCAGAAATTGACACGTTGTAAACTGACTATACTTCAATAATAAAAATTAATTGAAAAAAAAGAAAAGGGTAGCACTGGCACCCTACTCCTCCCACTATAGGCTAATCAACTCTAGGTCCCTATGTTCCCCCTTTCTCCAGGAATTTATAGCACTTTTCCCATAATAAATTCCTTCCTACAGGAATTTGCAGCACTTTTGCTTACTACCATGACCCCTGTGCTGGGTGTTGCTTCCTACAGACACTGGTGTGTCAGGTACCTGAAGCATGAAGCCATTGGGGTTTACACCCCTGTCTTCAAATGGCTCCTAGAAACTGCTCTATGAAGTCTGATCATGGCTAGGTGATAGTTCCTGCAACCATCACTGTGCTGCTCGTTCATCAAGGCTGCTTCCCACTAAGTAAATCAATGGATCCAAACTAGTACACTCCTAACTCTTGGGCTCTCACTTAAACAGAAGCCGACCTTTGGAATTTCATGCCATAAAGTAGAATACACCAGAATCCTAATTTTGTCGTTGTCACTTTTATTGACACTTGTGATGTTTCTGTTGTTGTAGGTTCTTAAAAGGAGTACAGTTCAATCTATCTTGATAGGAACTGATTTGTATAAACTATCCGAGCACTATTCTCAAGCACATGTGAGGGCCTTCCTGGTTCCTAGACTTCCAGGTGACTTGTCTTCCAAGCCTTCCCCTTAATAAAACAGATATACTTTCCAGATATCTAATCCCCTAATAGTGGGAACACTGTTCCTGAAGCTTCCTCAAGCAGCACTTCTTCACCCTTCCAGTTGCCTGATGGACATTAACCATGTAATGGTCATGAGCAGCCTCTTGCCTGCAGAGCAGGTACATTCAGTCACACTCTTAGCCTTTCCACACCTTGGGTAACACTGGATTTGATGTCACAAAGACTTCCAGTCAATCAGCCACAGTTAGCTGTGCATTGTCTTTCTCCACAGATTTGTTGCCCAATGCATTTCTAATACGAGCCCAGAAGAGTGGCCTCTCATGGACATTCTCTGGCCAGGTGATAAATGTCTGCCTGTTGACAAGTTTCCTGAGTTGGTGGTAGCTGGATAACTTATAGTTTGGGATCTCTTCCAGGAAGATCAAGATGAGGACATCCTCGTGCTCATAGAATATCTTGATGCTGGCTAGCTGTACTTCAAGCTGGCACCATTCACTGTGCAGGTAGTGGTTACTGACCATACACAATGTTTTCCAGCTTGTGTTGATGGCATTCTGGATGTTCTCAAAAATGTCCATGCCTGGTTCAAAATCCCGGTGGTGAAGACAGAGCTAGAAGGTAGGCTGACCTCTTTCTTCCGGGGCTGGAACAAGCTCTTCATATACCCACTGCTCATCAGTGGCAGTGAAAGAGACAAAGGCATCATAGATGAACTCCTTCTCTGTCCTATGCCACTTGGCCTGATACCAGGCTCAAAATATGTACAGCCTATACCATAGCAATGAAGTCATCTTGGCGATAAACCAAGAGGAGACCATGGTTGTGAGGACCAGACTGAAGGAACAGAAGAAGTAAACCTTTCCCAGGTCAAAATTACACGTAGAATCATTGAAATCTATCAGTAAACTCTGGATATTTCCCTGCTGACAGAGGTAGCTACAGAGGTAGGGGATATAGACCTTTGCTGTGTTTATGGACCAATTCTTGAAACATTCATTGTCACAGCTGCACTGAAGTTTGTTTCCATAAAGATCAAAGTACTTCAGAGACTTCAGATTCTCCAGATGACTTTGATTAATTACTCTTAGGTTGTTGAATCTTAAAGAGAGGACCTGAAGGCTTTCTAAGCCAGAGAACATGCCAGGAGTCAGGGACTCTAAGTTGTTGTTTTCCAGGCGCAACACTTTTAGTCTTTTGAGGTTTTGGAATAAGTAAATACTTAAACTGAGGCTTCGGTCTCCAGATTTTGTTTCTGAGATATCCAACTTTGTGAGATTAATCAGGGAGTCAAATTGACGGTAGTCTACGAATACCATGGGATTTTTCCCTAGGAGTAGCTCCTGCAGGCCATTCAGCCCTTGGAAGAAGTTGGTTGGAACAACCTGAATCCCATGTATTTGTCCTTCTAGGTTGAGTTGTTTCAAAGACTTGAGGTTCATAAATGGAGGAGATTGCAAGGTCCTAGTAGTTTCATATGTAATTTTATTAAAACTGAGATGCAAAATTTCTAGATTTTCCAGGCCCAAGAAAAGGCTTGCCTGAAAATTTGACAAGACATTGTATGTCAAGTCAAGTTTATAGAGGCAACTGAGGCTAGAAAATGCATTTTTTGCTATGTTTTTCAAGCAGTTCTGGGAGAGAGTGAGAACTTGGAGTTTCTTCAGACCCTCAAAGGTTCTGCAATTCAGAGTCCAAATATTGTTGTACCCAAGGTCTAAACTCTCTAAATTTGGAAATTGAGCAAAGAAGTATCTGTCAATTTTTACTATCCAGCACCCAGCCAAGTTGAATTTCTTCAATGAATACAGCCCATAGAAGGCCATCCTATTGAGTTCTGTAATGGGATTTCTAGAGAGAAAGAGAGATTGTAGATACCTCAGGGGTGAAAATGCAAAATCTGGAAAGCTTTTAAACTTATTGTGGCTCAGATCTAGGGCTCTCAAGTTCTGGAGGGTACTCCAGGTCCTGTTAATGACAAAGGAAAGTTGACACTTGTTTAGATTCAGCCTTTGGAGGCTGGGCATAGCATCAAATTCACTGTCATTGAGGTGAACCAGATCATAGTTATGGCTCAGGTCAAGGGACAAAAGCCTGGTACAGTTGGCAAGGTGCTGTATGCCCCTGGCATCAATGGCATTTTTCCAAAAAACCAAAGCCTCTAGTATGGGTAAATTTTGGAGGAGACGACATAGTGTGTTGAGGTTTAAGTGACTACGTCAAACTTCTGGTTAATAAGGTCTATTTCCCTTAGATTCTGTAGGTGGTTGGCTGAGAGCATCTCCAGTTTCACCAATGTTCCACTCAGATTCAAGCTTCTCAGTTGGGGCATAGTTTCCAGATCCACATTCTGTATGACTCCGAAGCTAATATGAGAGACATCCAGAGTGGTCAGATTAGGTAGTGACAAAGCAGAGAAATTTAATTCCATTAGCTTGTTCCCTTGCAGGCTCATCTGGGTCAGGGAGACCAATGACCTGGGGCTGTGATCCAAGGACATGATGCTGTTGTTAGTAAGATCAAGACATTCCAGGTGCAGAAGATGTTGGATTGCTTCCAGAATATTAGAAAAATCAGTAATAAAGTTTCGAGATAAGTTTAAATATTTCAATTTGACAAGAGGGTCAAAGGCATTTTTGTGAATAGGGGTAATTTGATTATGACTCAGGAGCAAAGTTTCCAAGTTGGACAGGCCTTCAAATGAGTTGTTCACACTTTGAATCTTATTTTCTACTAAATTCAAAAGGGTCATGTTTTCAAGTCCCCAAAAGGCCCTCTCATCAATCTTCCAAATGGAATTCCGCTCCAATCGCAAGTCCACCAGAGCAGACAAATTAGTGAAGCCATATGGAGGAAGGACCTGAATTTGGATCTGTGTCAGGTTGAGGTGGGTAGTGTATCCAGGGATGTCACGAATGGCGTCTGTTAAGTTAATGATCTTCTTCCGAATGCAGAACATATGGTGAATGTCCATTTCATACTGTATGCATTTACTGAACCCATACATCTCTGTCAAAGAGAGCAGAGAAAGCCCACTGAAAATGAGCCAGAACTGTTGAGGAGGCAAAAGATTTTCTAAACCCATCTTGTCAGCCCCAGACCTCAGAGTTACTATTATAAAAAAATCCTCTCACATGTGTGATGCATATTTTTGGAGGAATGGTCCTTCCAGTTCAACTTTGCTGCAAAGATAATGAGACAGTTATTTAGCTTAAACATATCTCTTTTAATATTATTTATTTATTTCTCTCTTTTAATAATAAATAAATTTCATAGCTGCTTCAAGAAAACTAAATTTTGTCTCAAAGTTAACTTCCAAAACAAATCAATTTCCAAAGCAATCCCTATGTGTATCATCAAAAACCAGTGTTATTTTTTCCTGTAATCCAAAGTTGTTAGCACATGGAGGCAGAGAAGGAAATAGCACACTTGAATTAATTTAGAGAATTAAGAAGCTCCCCAACCCTCCTCTCACCCTTACACAGTAAAATACCTCCCTCACTGTTTGGGCTGATACCTGAGATTCTGCCACTGGAGATGCACTTTGGAGGTCTGTGGGTCTCAGCCTAGTTAAAAGAGAGTCATCATGGTGGGGAAAAAAACAAGGTTTACAGATCACCTCTGTTTTAATGTGAATGAATACAGAATCTGCTTTAAAGCCACTCATTTCACCACAGTTTGCATTTACATCTCTCAGGCGATCAAACCCATTAACAGCATGTGACATTTCTGGAAAGCAGGAAAAATACAACTACAATAAACAGATGTGTCAGTCTAGTTTCTGATGTGTGCTGCCCAAGGTTTCTCCAGCCTCATCTCCCAGTTTCAACCTGTTCCTACCATCACTTGTGGTAATGTAGTGAAAAGAGAACCAGCCCAGACAGACCTGGGCTCCAGTCCTGTGTCCTTTGACAAATTATTTAACCTCTCAGAGCCTGTTTCCTTATCCATACAATGGGACGATAATACCGATTCCCCACAACTTATGCAGATTCAATAAGACAACTTAAAGTGCCCAGATTGATGCCTGGTACACTGTGGAGCTGAATAAAAGGTTATTCCCTTCTTTTCACCTTAACTCTAGGCCAACATCAGCACACCATCTTTGTGTGGATCTTCTAGTTCTTGTCTCAAGAGCACTCACAGCCACAGAGAGGGGAGAGAAACAGTAAAGTTGGATTGTTTTCTTTCCTTTGTATATACTTCCATATGCACACAAAAATATATGACATATATGTATAGATATTGCCAGCACTATTTGTAAGATTCTAAGAATCACAAAACAAGCATCCATTATAGAACTTGGAGAGAGATATATATTTTATATATATATAAAATAAAATGAGGATTTTTTTGAATTGGTACATTTACAGTCATGATTGTATTATAATGAATAGAATCACAAAATATTTTGAAAAACTTTTATATGTAAAGTAAGCCACTTACTGAAGTCTGTATATATTAAGACTCTCAAGAATAGTACACAAGAGGGCCCATTTGCTCACAATATCAGTAACCCTTGGTATTATTCACTTTTATAATTTTTGCAATTCTGGTGGTATTAAAGTGGTATTGCTTTGTCTTTTATTGACATATTTCTAAATATTTCTAATATTGAGGATCTTTCTATATATTTAGTAGCTATTTGGATTTTTCTTTCAGTGACCTGCTTATTTATATCCTTTTTCCAGTTTTCTGTTGGGTTTCTTGTTTTTTTCTTCATGATTAGTGGTCATTTTTGTATATTCTAGATATTAATCCCTTGTTGGTTTTAATGACTTAAATAGCTTCTACATGTCATCTATCACTTAATATTGTCTATGATGTTCTTTGTGACTAAAACATTTTAATAATAATATGATAAAACCCATCACTTTTTTTGCTTTGTGATTTTGCTTTTAGATTCCTATTTTTTTAAAATTTTTGCCTCCTTAGATTACATTAGATGCTGTCCATTTAGCTTTACCTTTCCCACTTATATCTCATCCATCTAAATTCCAGTTTTGTATGTTGTTTAAGGTAGGGATCCAGCTCTATTCTCCAATTAGCAAAGTAGTTCACTGTAAACTAAAAAAAAAAAATCAGTTTCTTTTCTAATGCCTTGAGGGGTATATTTATCATACACCAGATTACCCTATATACTGAATGTATTTCTGAGCTCACTTTTCTGTTCCTTTGTTTACTTATCATTTCCTACAATGGTATCATGTTATTTTATTATTCTGGCTTTAAAGTATATCTTAATATTTAATAGGGTGAATCCTTTCTCTGTGTCAAGTTGATTTTCAAAGTGATTAGCTAGTCATGAAAATTTTTCCATTATAAATGTAAGTAATTTTATCAACTTTTCCCAAAGTCCTACTGGAATTTAATTTGGGACTGCACTGAATTTGCAAGTTAATGTGAGTTGAATTGATACAATTGTCATGTTATATCACCCCAAATATAGACATGGTATATCTTCTTTTAGTCAAAACTTCCTTTATATTTTTAAAGAGTTTTAAAATAGTTTCTGTAAAATTTGTGTTTCTGTGTTAAGGTGTTTCCTAAAAACATTTAGATCTTATTATTTTGAGGGATATCTTATTTTTTCCTATTTAATGTTCTAATTAGGTATGGCAGGGGTGCCATAAGTTTTGAATTTTTTGTGTTATCGTTGATCATAAGAGTGGAAAGCTTTCTGAACTCTAATTAGTTTTTAAAATGTGACTGTTTATTCTATTAGGTTTATCTGTTAATGATTATATTCTCTGCAGGTAATGGAAATTATATATCTCTTTTTCAAATTCATACACTTTCTATGCTTGTTTTTAATGTTGGGCTCATAATACTGGTCACAACCTCCAATACTACATTTAATCATAATGATGATAGATTTTTTTTTGTTAATGGGATGGCATCTATAGATTTTCCATTAATTATTTTATTTGCTATAAGTTTTGATACATATCAAGTCAGAAAATTTCCCTTATATTCCTAATTTTTTAAGGAAGAATATAGTTGAGTTTGACCAGAACACAAAAGAGGGAGGGGGAAATAGAGCCATCAACTAAGGGAGAATGTACACGGGGGGGCAACAACTTTCTTGCACAAATGGTAAACTGGCTATAAATATGGAAGCATGAAAACATCAAAAGTACTTACTATGTGCCTGGAACTTTCATAAGCATTATTGACTCACTACAAAACTCAGCAAGATACATAGTCTTAACTCCATTTTATTTATGGGGAATGGAAGCCCAGAGAGCAGACTTGCACAAATATTGCACAGCTAATTTGTGACAGATTAATGATTCAAAGCAAAGGCCACATCATCATAGAACTTCATGTTCTTTCCACTATACTTTGTCACTCCTTAATTCCAAAAGAGCAACCTCTAAACATTTGTAGCAATGATTACATCATAAGGATACTTGTGTTGCTCTATCTCAGTGATTGCTTTGAAGAATGCTAATTTGGTGTGTAAATTCTACAATATTCCAGAAAAAGTGGTGTCATAAATTTATACTTACACTTTATATTCATGTCCATGACAGATGAAACAGAAACAATGATCTAATGATAGTTGTAATTTCCTTTTTTTTCACTCCTAATTTTTTTATTGAAGTATAGTTGGTTTACAATGTCATATTAATTTCTGGTGTACAACATAGTGATTCAGTTATATGTTCCTTTTCATTTTCTTTTTCATTATAGGCTAATACAAGGTATTGAATATAGTTCCCTGTGCTATACAGTGAGACCTTGTTGTTAATCTATTTTCTATATAGTTGTTTGTATCTGTTAATCCCAAACTCATAATTTATCCCTCCTCCACCACATTTCCCCTTTGGTAACCATAAGTTTGTTTTCTATGTCTGTGGGTCTGTTTCTATTTTGTACGTAAGTCCATTAATTGTGTCATTTTTTCTAGATTCCACATATAAGTGGTAACATATGGTGTTTTTCTTTCTCTTCCTGGCTTACTTCCCTTAGTATGAATGATCTCAAGGTCCATCCATGTTGCTGCAAGTGGCATTATTTTACTCTTTTTTATGGATGAGTAATGTTCCATTGTATAAATATACCACAACTTCTTTATCCGGTCATCTATTGATGGACATTTAGATTGTTTCCATGTCTCAGCTATTTTAAATAGTGCTGCTGTGAACATTGAAGTGTATGTATCTTTTCAAATTAGAAATTCAGTTTCCATTTTAAGGCAGCCCAGTGTTTTTAAGACTGAGATGAATAGACTGATTCACTGCTGGAGGTCAGTGCTTTAAGGCATTTTGACCTTGTTAGGCAATAAGAAGGAAATAGCTCAAAGGATAATAGACTTCATTGTAAAAGTAAATAGAAGGAAAAGAAGGGGGAGGAGGAGGTGGAGGAGGAGAAGGAGGAGAAGAAGGAGGAGGAGGAGAAGAAGGAGGAGGAGGAGAAGGAGAAGAAGAAGAAGAAGATAG